ATTCCTGACAGGCCAAAAAAATGTCTGATATGTAGAAATAGGCACGCTAAGCTCCAGTTATAATGAAAGAAAAGCAACTTTTATGACTTTATAGGCACTTGAATGATTTATATTCTGCGTTCTTTGAATCCTTGCAGAGTTTGCCTAAGTGGGAAACAGACAGCAAAATTAGCTGTGAGCAGACTTTACAGAAAGGCGATGGGCCCAAGACGTCGTGGACTCGAGAGGTAACCAACGATGGAGAACTGATACTGGTACGTATTTCTGGTAATTATTGTGTATAAAGCACCGATACATGACCTTATAGATAGAATGTAAGACATTCAAATGATAATCAATTAGCTTTACAAAACAAAACACTGGTTGAGAACTTTTATAGATCATCTATAAGACATAAATAAGAACAACCTTTTTTTTTGTCCTGCTTTTTTCATGAGATTCAACTTATAACTAGTTCATAATGTGTTCCCTATGAGAAAAGTGAAAACCATTTCCTTTTGTTGCTGTTTTCTTTCAGACAATGACTGCAGGGGATGTTGTCTGCACCAGAGTTTATGAGAGGGAATGAGGAAATATTTTCAAGACCGACATGCAATACTCCTGTTTTGTGCCTCATGCATGGTTTACATTTACTCGCCTTGTTTTCTCCTTCATTCTCTCAGCCAGTCTTATGTTGATCTCAAACAGTGCACTGTGTAGAAAAGGCTTCAGTTTACATGAATGTATGTTGGCACAGTAGTTGCTTTTGTAACCCCTACAGCTGAACTGTTTCTGTATCTTATATAAACGTCACACATTCCTTTTCTGAAAGCTGTGTTTAAATCCTTTTCAACATGTTAATAAACTGTTTTATAGATTCCTTTTCAAACACTCGTTCTTTATGTCGCCTCCTCCCATTCCCTTGTCGTCCATCTGCATATCACTTTACATCATTGCCTGCCATTCATACTCTCCAGATAATCCCCACCCTTTCCCCCTCCATCTTTCCATTCCCAGTCCAATACCTTGTCCCCTGTGTGCTCTTATGTCATCATAGCTCACTACAGTATGTATTCAATTAGACTAAAAACTCCCGCTTACACAATTTATATTTTGTAAACTTTGCTTTCAGGGACATTTGGCTAAGACCAGAAGGAAACAGGGAGTGGGAAGGACAGTGAGAGTTGGAAAGAGAAAGATGTCATGAGAAAGTTATTTCAAAGCATCCAGAGAGGTTATGCTTTCTATTTCCCCCTCTCCAGCTGCACCTACTTACAGAATGAGCTCAATAAAAAAATCCCCCACTCTTTTTGCTTTGGCTTTGCACTCAGGTACAAAGTGTTACGTGGCTTTCTCTTACACTGTCCAAGAAGATTTCCAGCTGCTCCCTCTCAAAAAAACCTTTTTAACATTATGAATGCAACATATTACGCAAACAGGCTTAACATGTTTAGACATATGTAGTATTTAACAGTAGAGTCCTTCAAATCTTTTGTTTACTCAACCAAAACTCAACTGCGTGGTTCAGCATGTGACAGACTGAACCTCAATGTTATGAATGGACCTTCAGGGTTTCTCAGGCACTTCCTGATGAGAGTGCTGTAACCGTTCAATCAGGCACTGATGGCTTTTTCAGGTGTTTTAAACAGTGTGAACTCAAGCGCCTCTCAGAAGTGATTTCCAGTTTATATACAGTTTCAAGCAAGCAGCAGGTTGGATGAATGTTCTCAATAATCTCTCTGGGTACATTTACTCGTGTTAGAGTACCAACACCAAAGTTCTGTATTATCAGCAAAACATGCCTAAAATCACTTGATATTATTTCATTATGAGATTGTCAACACTGCTGCATTGTGCATCCTTGTAGCAAGTTGAGGTTTAGCTGGTTTTAACTACTTTACACACATTAAGGTCAATATATCCAGTGGTTCCAAACCTAGGGGTTGGGCCCCTTAAGGATCACAAGGTAAATCTGAAGGGCCATACAATGATTAATTGTGCAGGGTAGGAAAAAAAAGCTCAAAACTACACCAAATTGTTTGATAGTTTGACCTTTTCTCGAATATTTACTATTTTATGCAATATTAAACATATTTTATATTTATTAAGATAAAACCAGTCAGAAGTTGTCTCTGGCCAGCTTTTTTTCAAGAGGGTCCGAACTATGGTTATGCTGACCACTGATGATATATGTTTTTATTTGTAAAATCTTAATCTGTAAAATAACTTGTATCGAACAATGTCAAACAAATGCAGGGGTGTAAACAAGTAACGGAAAACAAAAATGCACAAGTACTGTACAGTATCTCTAAACTGTATTTGAGTTTAGTACTTTCCAGAGTGTGTCTGCGGATAGAAAGAATGCATGGCTTACACTTTCATGTCTTCCAGGCAGAAAGTATGTTTTCAATAGCCTCAGTTAAAACCCATGTTATAGTGTAAGAACTTATCAAAACCGCAGCGCTTTAACTGCACTCTAGAGGAGATGGAAAGTTCCTTGCTAAATAAGAAAATTGGCATTGCACACACAAACACATCCAAATACACAAGATGCATAATTCTGTCTGAATTATCCCTTTGACTTTTGGTTGTTATAGCTAGGAGCGGTCTACAACACCCAGACCACACCTTGTTAGCCGGGTCACTTTCCACATACAACCGTTAGCCAGTTCATTCCTCTGGCAGTGACATCATGGAGCCTTTCGTTGCTCCATTGGCTGAAGAATGCTGCGGTTTTAGGACAGGGAGGCTCCCGGAGTCCAACATTTTAATCAGATCCATCTGGACCAATCATGAAACGGCAATTAAAGGAAATGATGAGTCACAGGAGTCAACTGTCAGACCCGGGGCATGAGGATGAATGAAATGTGTGAGCAGGTTCAAGCAGACCTCACAAAAGTTCAGCTAAAGATCATTTCATCACTACTTGACTTCTTAAAAGTAAACATCTGTAATCTTTGGAACCCTTCTTTCAAGTTGTATGTGTGAGGGCTATGCTTTTTTACTTTTAGATGTAACACACAGTATTGAGTAAGATGATTTTTCCAAACTTTAAGCCACCTAAATGAGAAATTAAAGAATACCGGATGCAAAACTGTTATCTTGTGACCCCTTAAGGCGATCCCGGCAACAACTGATCTACATTAGACAGGACCGTGTGAGAACTGTTTATGTGCGTGACAATCTGACCTATGTGTATGTATAGAAATCATATAATAATATATTTATTTCTATAGCGCTTTTCTTGAACCCAAAGACGCTTTACATTTGGGAGGGAGGGTAGACAAACAAAACAAAAACAAAGACAAAGCCTGACATATGACTGCCTCTATGGAAGGCCCTCACCCATGTGACCCCATTAAACTTCTAGGAGAAGAAAAGGGAAAGAGACCAGGCTGGATTGTGCATTAGGCCATGAAGTGAGTATAAACTATAGGTGTAATCCTTTCTACTGCTGCTCAAAAGGTGACTGAAAGGGTCATATATGAGCAGTACAAATAGTACAACCTTTGTACAAGCCTGAAAGAAAATAAGATGTATTGAAGCAACAATGCTTCAAGATTAACTTCAATTACATGTTGTAGTGAATGTGTCAAAATAAAAGGATAAACGTTTATTTTGGCTGCACTTGAAAAACACCTACTTACCTGTGGTTTAAAGTCCCTCATTCTTCATGAGAAACACCATGGGCTGAGACCGGAGAAGTAGGGGGGATTATTCCTTCAATACACAAGACTGACATCTACTGGAAGAGGAGGCAATTATCTTTTTAAAACTGCAAAGCATGAAGTAATTGTTTTAAAGTTGAGTTGTTCCTTCAAATCCTGGCTTATTTATACTATATATGTTTGTTTAATTTGGAATTAATTTAAAAAAGGAAATGTAATTAAAAACGTATATGTTATGTAATTAAAGACAAAAAGGAACGTCCTTACCATTGTTTTATATAAATTATACCACAAATTATACATAGCCTAACGTGATTGAATCCGTGTATCTACCGTCCATTTGTTTTTCTTTATTAAACACGTAAACGGAAGAGCGTCTGAGAGGCGTTTTTGGTTTTTGCCAGGTTTTTGCTTTTTACCTTACTAAATGGTCAGCGAGGGGCGGGGCGAAACTCATGGAAGTGATTTCAAAACAAAAGCACTCGTTTGCTAAAATCACACTTTGAATCACTACAGTATGCCTATCCTGTTGAAGGAACGGTGATTATTATAAACAAGGGGAATTTAGCGATCACAACGAAAACGGCCAAGACACATATTGAGCCCAGAAAATTGATGTTATTAAGGGCTGTAAATATAATAAGCCTATGTCTAAAATGGACAACATTGTTAGGAGATTTAAACTATACACCGATTCTGCACTGCGGTCACTCAGCCGTCTCTCGAGTTTGTTTGAAGTACTTGCCACAGCTACCACAGAGTAGCGGCCTCTGTGGCATATGCCGGAAGTACTTGCCACAGCTACCACAGAGTCGCGGCCTCTGTGGCATATGCCGGAAGGACTTGCCACTGCCTGCAGATGCCACGAAATGAGCCAGGCCCTACTGGTTTGTTTATTCAAATCAGCTGCTCTTCATTTTTTTCCTGCTATATTTGACGAGTGATAGCCTACAAATATATTTTACCACAAGTTCTTAAGAAAACTGACACTGTTGGAGTCGGTACTAGTTTGACTCAGAGCCATAACAGAGTTGTTCTCTCTATATGGCGCTGGTTTGACTTATACCAGAAATAAAATGAAGTACTTTGTGAGTAATCCTCTGTCAAAGTCCCCTCCTTTGTACATAATGCATGTTTTTCTGCTATCTTTGATGAATGATACAGGAAAACATACTGTTTATTGTAGAATAAATAAATATGTGAGCTATAAAAAGATGATTGTTATATGATTGTTATTAATAAATGTTATTATGCATCGAGAGATCTTTTGGGGATTTTATTCAATAAAATGTGCGGCCCAACTGCTCTCACGTGCTTGTCTGCCGCAGCAGCAGTCACATGACCGCCAGACTTGTGCTGGTTACTTCCGGTTCCTCGGCTGTTTTTCTTGTGGGAGAAAGCATCTGCTCTGCTGTGATCCGGATCCTGGCAGCCGGGACTAGAGAGGAGTCACACACCGGGGAACACAGCGTTCAACTTGTCCGTTACCGTGTTCACCTGTTCCCAAAACTGTGGAGAGATGACCACCGGAGGGGCGGGTAGCTAGTTGACTGGATACACCGACTAACACCGCCCTTCCTCTCGATTAACAAAAGAACCAAGCGCATCTTTTTTATCTGCTGGAAGAGACTCACAGTTAGCAGCGAGCGGTGGCTAATTGACATTAGCTCCCCTTTCCATAACACCAAGCCATCGATATGTCAAAATACACAAGCTTTCCAGAGCCAATGGAGGACCCCAACCCTTTCCAGGTGGGTGAAATGAAATATGAATATAATGTAATATCCTGCCTCGGTGCAGTGTTTTAATTGTGTGATGTGCAGAAGTCCCTGATGTTGGCTCTGTCTAATAGCAGGCGTGTTGTTGCTCATGTGACGTGTGTCCCTTTTTGCCTCGGCCTTTCCGCCCTCCTTTCAAGCTTTGCCCACTTGTAGCTCATATTATTAACGATGAACACATCAATAGAAGCCGCTCAGGTTTGTCGAATTTGGATGAATGTTCCAGTAGGCCAAGTCACATTTATTTATGTGCTAATTAACCCATAAACCATTTGTTTTGATCTTCTAGGACCCTGCAGTGACTCAACACAGCAGCAACACGGGTTATGCCACACTGGACCTTTACAACCCGTTTGATAACACTACTGGGCCTGGGGTGAGTAATATGTTGTATTATCTGTGAGATAATGAGGGATAATTGCTGATAGTGTACTGTATAGATAATATACAACACAACAGCTTCCTTTCGTGTCATGCCAGGGCTTGTCCCGCCTTGTTTTCTTCTGTGAGGGCATAAACTGTACAGTATACAAAGTGTGAAGGGTACATTAGGGAAACAAAATGCTATTGCCCGTTTATTTAACCCGTTTTTCCATTATTTTGGTGTTTATTTGATTGTTTTCTATTGATTTTATTGTTTTCCGTCTGATAAAATTAAATGTATTGTTCAGGTTTGATGTAAAGCAAATGTGCTATATAAACAGAAAACATATATATGATGTTGACAATCATCATCAAACACATCTTCATTCAGTTAATTTCAGATTTGTGACAAAAAAAATTGAGAAACAGAAACTGGCTCCACATTTACTTCAAGGTAATGTGCAAGTTAAATTAAATGATCCCACATTTAGCAGCAAGATGAAGAAAGGCAATTAGTTAATGTGAATGAATTGCAATTTATTAAATCTTCAATCCCATACTTATACTTTTTCTATTCAGATGTCTAATGTGTTTACTGTGTCTATCGGCACGCTTTCAGTTTTGAAATTGCAATTTAGTTTCACTTACTTCATTCCTTCTATTTGTCTCCCTGAACAAATCGCAGATGCTTGCAGTTTGGTTTTTTGCAGCCAGTCTATACTAAATTGGGAAATTATACCACCGTAACGCCCTCATTCAATGCCAGCAGACCTTGAGCTTAAATGGTGCGCTCTACTGACATGCATTTTCTTTATAAGAATAACCCAAACTAGCTAAGACACAGTAAGGCTGGAGAAATTCATACAAGTGATGATTGAGAGGGGTAGTTTCAGTTTAAGTCTTTACACTGTTTCCTTTAGAAAGATCCTGCTCAATGAACCTTTAATGAGGACACTTGATGTTGTAATATGTTCATCAAAGACCTATTGCTATAAACAGAGTAGCTGAAATATACACTTGCTTTGCGATATACATGATTCTAGAATTGAATATCTTTGCTGCTTCTAGGAAACAGCTTGGGTTCATGTGTACTTCCTGACAGCTGTTGATATTGGCAAATACTGAATCAACAAGAACTACATTTGTACTTGAAGCTGAACTAGTCTTTGCAAATCTGTTATTGAAAGCTTCATATATTGTTGTAGACATGAATGTCTCAATCGGATACCAATAAATAGATACATTTCAAACTCTGTATTTCAACTCCTCTGTGGCCATATTGTTGTTACACAGCTGCAGTTTAGTTTTTGTTTGAAAAAAAAGGTTTAAGTGTAAGGCTGGGCCAGTGTTGTAGTCAAGTCACCAATTCACGACTCTCGAGTCACCACACTTCGAGTCCGAGTCCAAGTCCGAGTCACCAAGGGAGAGTCGTAGTCGAGTCCAAGTACGAGTCACCCAAGGAGTGTCCGAGTCCAAGTCATCATTACCTGTGTCCGAGTCCGAGTCCAAGTCATCATTACCTGTGTCCGAGTCCGAGTCCAAGTCATCATTACCTGTGTCCGAGTCCGAGTCCAAGTCATCATTACCTGTGTCCAAGTCCAAGTCATCATTACCTGTGTCCGAGTCCGAGTCCAAGTCATCATTACCTGTGTCCGAGTCCAAGTCACCCAATGAGTGTCCGAGTCGAGTCCGAGTCATCATTACCTATGTTCGAGTCCGAGTCCAAGTCCGAGTCACCTAAGAAGAGTCCAAGTCAAGTCCGAGTCACAAGTCTTCATGTATTATTCTTCGTGGATATATGTGTTGAAATGTAGCTGCTCCTCTACATTACTTTCATCCTGTCATGTTATACTAATCTGTCTATTGAACTGCTGTGAAGCAAGTTTGGCTACAATTCTTGTAATAGGTGCTATACAAATATAAAGCTTATGAGTAATATTAATATTATTATTGTAAATTTACTATTTTTATTTTATTTTATTTTTTTAATATGTCTAACTATATTTAAAATGAGTTACCTTTTAGAGAAGTGATTATATTTGTATGCCAATATTTTCCTATTGTAAAGTTTTCGTTTTGCACTTTTATTTTGATAGTAATAAGATCTGTACTCTTATTTTGAAGGAACTTTTACCAGTTAAATCGGTTTACTGGTAAAGATTTAGCCCCAGAAAGTACATGGCTACTTAGCATGCAAAATGATGTCATTCTGCATGTTAAGTAGCCATGCGCTTTCGTGTTATCGGCTGAATCTTTATTTATTGATTAGATCACGTTACTCTGATGATAGTGTTCAAGACAGCCTATATGTCTGAACTCGATCCTTACGGAGCCTTCTCTTCAATATTGTTTCCACATAACGAGCATTTTGCGCTGCTCTTTTCCAATGTGGAAGCAGAATGTGTGAAAGCATACAGCACGATGCGGGGTGTGTCTCTATAGACACTACTACTACTAGACATCTCTAGACTGGAATAGCGGGCCCAGTCCGTGAACTCGCCTCACAGGTGCACACGCCAGGATAGAGGACATCAGACTCCAGAGAAAACTTGCTCGAGTCCAAGTCAGAGCGTCAATGTACAAGTCAAGTCCGAGTCATCGTGGGGGAGAAAATTCACGAGTCCGAGTCCAAGTCAGGGTACGCGAGAATTCACGAGTCCAAGTCTGAGTCGCGTCAATCAGTGCGCGAGTCCGAGTCGGGTCACGAGTCCCGAAAATCGGCACTCGAGTCCGAGTCCAGGACTCGAGTACTCCATCTCTGGGCTGGGCATTGTGATACAAATAAATATCCCAATATTTATTTACCAAATTCCTGTGCAAAATTGTAGGGTTTACTATTGTTGTTTTCATTAAATGTAAAGGAGAAATGTGATGATGGAAGAAGTAGAACATTTGATTCAAGCTCAGAAATGTACATACACAAAATCCAAGACAATATCCCATCTCATATTGATATATAATATTAATATATTGCCCAGCCCTTTTTAAGTGTTGAAGTTGGTGCATACAGGATGAGGTCACACTGATGTATGATGTCTGTCTTTCTCCAGCCTCCACCTCCGTATGAAGCTACCTCTCCCTCTGCTCCACCTGTGCCGGCTCAGACTCCCCCCAGCAGGACGACGCCCACTGAGCCTCGCAACTATGGCTCCTACACCTCCCAGGTACACATGCTGCCGAGAAGAGACACAGACAGTTGTTTCCTTTTTATGTTTCCTGAAGTATTTTTGTGTGGTTATAAATGCCGCTGCACTTCTTGGCCTTGTTTTACATAAAATAATAGATTCTTAATCTCAATGGGAGTCCTTGGTGAGAAAAAAAGGCTCAGTGTTATATATGAATGGCCATCTGAATCTCTTATAATAACAGATCGTTAACACAATCCTTTTTATTATTTATTACTTGCACAACCTCTCTCTTTGAAATTTGATATGCAGTTCTAATTCATCTTCTACTTTATGTCTTACTATGTTAGACGGCAGTGAACGCGACCACAGCAGAGCTGCTGAGGAAGCAGGAGGAGCTGGAGAAGAAAGCTCGGGAGCTGGAGAGGAGAGAGCGGGAGCTCGAGTCACACGCCCTGGGACCCGGAGCCAGTAAGAGAGGGAGGCGGGAAACCAATGCTTAAGATACCTAAATGTGTAATTGATTTAGGGAGTTAAAAAGAAATTGCCTTGATTGATGATTTCCCACTGTTGTCTTCATCAGCCCGTCAGAATAACTGGCCCCCGCTGCCATCGTTCTGCCCTGTGGGCCCCTGCTTCTACCAGGACATCAATGTGGAGATCATGCAGCGCTTCCAGCGCACCGTCACCATCATGTACTACTTCTGGATGTGTGAGTTCCTCCAACTTTTGCTCTGCACTGTTGTGTGAATTATCAGCATCAGTGTGATAAAGTTACTTACGGTGCATATCTGGGGCAGTATTAATAAATAGGGTGTGTGATTGAAGTGAAAAATGTAAATATTCACCTGCTGACACTTTAGGAAAGACACTTGTCAAATCATTCTTTTTTGATGCACCGGTCAATCTTGAGAGTTTGAGCAATTTTGCCTCTTCTTCCGACGAGCGGAATGAAAACACCCAAAATACACATTTAGTATTTGCTCCTTAATTCAACTTAAGTTAACATTAAATAATGTCTCATATACATATCTAAACATACATTTGAAGTTATCAACTACCTATTCACTTGTTATGTCTTGCAAGTGTATAATCTTTTTTTAATCAGTTTTTTTCAAACTGACCCACACATCTCCACTTCAGCAGCATTTACTACATACACAAAAACTTCCAGTTTCACTTCCTCCATATTCTAAAGTTGTTTTTATGGCTTTTGACCGTATTTTCAGATTTATGGAGTTCATAAAAAAAGAGCTATGCCAATTTCCTCTGTAAAAACCTCAGAATTTAATGTTTCAAAAAAAATGTACCTTTAATTTTAAACCTGGGTTTCAGATTTCAGCTCCAGACCAGGGTTTCCGCTAGGATTTTTTCTTGCCGGTCAAGTGTCCGGAAATAATTTATTTTACCGGACAAATTCTAAACTTACCGGTCATGTTTCAATAATAATAATAAGAATGGTGTAGCAGAGTTTCCGTTAGCAGGTAATTACCGGACTATGACCGGATATGCTGATGTTTAAAACTCAGTTAATGGGGCTCATTTTTATATTGCTTCAGTTTATAATCGTAACAGATCGAAAAGTTATTAATTTTTCAATAAATGATACGCTTCCCCAAACAACATAATTATTACATTCAAACAAACTACTTATAGTAGATGAAGTACATTATTCAAAAGTTTACATTAACTTTGAATAATAACACGGGAGAAAGGGAGCCTCTCTTTTTCCCTCTCCCTCTCCCTCTCTCTCCTGACAGCCCGTCAGTTTCTCAAGCAGCTCGCTAAACAGCGGGCGGGGCTTCAGGTGATCATGCAGAGCTGCGTGTCTCCGTCAGACTCAGCAGCTGATCTGATCTCTCTCTCGCGTCCGGTTATACTTCACTCGCGTTTATGTCCATATCGATCAGATCCAGCTCTCCTGATCGGCCTTAATAGAGAGCACCGATCAAACTATTAAGAGTTAATATTGGCCGATAATGACCGGCGGCAATCGATCGGAGCATCCCTAATTATTACCGGACATGTTGACTGGCAGGTTTTGAATTTACCGTTTTTTAATACATTTTACCAGCTAAAAAACGGTAATTACCGGCTAACGGAAACCCCGCTTCAGACATGTATGCATATTATCACATATTAAGCAAGATAATCAACAGGTGAAGTTAATTAATTTTGCCATACTCATCTGAATTGTGAAGATGCATCAGTTGAAGGGGGTGATTTTATAAATGAGAGAATCACTTCAGAAAAAGCTAGAACCGACTCAAGCCTGTGTGACTCCTCCTGCGCTGTCTGAGGTCGGAGCGGGAATGTTTGTTCAAGAAATCTGACACTTCACTGCCAGATTGAGGACTTTTATTATCTGGATGTGTGTGCTTTTGTAAACAAGAACATATTTTAAAATGAACATTAATACTGATTTTTAAAATGGAAAACAGAGGGGGAGTGAGAGGGTTGAGGCAGAAAGTGACCGAATACGATAGGAATTGGCCGAGCATAAAACCTAATATTGAACATAAATCTTGAGTCTTGAGCCTGGACCAAAGGAAAACTGAAAAAGCCACTTCTAAACCCAGCAGCAGGCAAAGAAAAGTAATACATTATGTCATAATTTGCATCAGCCAATGTCCTGACAGGTTGGCTCTTTCTTCAAAGGGAGCTGAGGTGTGTTTGATTTGTGTTCTTTGAAGTCCACAGCGCTGTCACGAAGCAACAAAGAGATCCCCCCGTTCATTCAGCTATTCTCATTTATCCTTCTGTGTCCTTTTTCTGCTTTTTTCTTCATGGTCCAGTCGGCACTTGCACACTGCTCTTCAACCTGGTCTCCTCCCTGGCCATGTTCTGTGTGGACTCCTCGGGGGGAGTTGGCTTGGGACTAGCCATCCTTTGGGCCCTCCTCTTTGCCCCATGCTCATTCGTCTGTTGGTACAGACCCATGTACAAAGCATTCAGGTGTGTACCACCATCCCCATGAAAAAGCCCAACAAAATAAAAAACAAGCTTGCCCAATGCAGATTATGGCGTAGCCCCCACATTTTTTTTTTAAATTAATAATTCGGTCTGTAAAATTATAATAAAATGTGAATCCAAGTTTCACAAAATCCTAGGTAATGTTTTCGAATGTCTTGTGTTGTCAGTTCACAACCCAGGAATATCAACTGTAATACCTCATAAAACAACAATGTCTGGTGATTACCCTGACCAAAGTATTTTAAATTCATTTAAAATGGCAATTCATTCTAATGGAATCACTTTAATTTTCGTTCAGTTAAGAAACAAATATTCTTTGTTGCATCACAGATAGGAGTCATAGGACCCTTATTTTTGTGTCAAAATCCTTTTAAATATTAAAACAAGCTCTATGTTTCACTTCTCTTTCTGTGATTTTTGTCCTCTAGGAGTGACAGCTCCTTCAATTTCTTTGTCTTCTTCTTCATTTTCTTCGCCCAAGTGGTCACCAACGTCATCATGACTATTGGTATCCCTGGATGGGGTTTCAGGTATACTTAAGCATTTCTGTGTTGAACAGACACATGGCTCCTTTCAGTTTCTGTCCTCTGTTAATTTCTCTGTCTCACTGTCTCTTCTCCTCAGCGGATGGATCGTGAGCCTGGCTGCTCTAAAGACCAGTGTCCCCGTTGGTGCGATCATGATGATGAATGCCGTCTGCTTCACTGCCCAAACCGCCATGGGGGTCGTCATGCTGCAGAAGGTGAAAACAGAATATAACACATTTTACATGGAGTGAAAATAAACGGGTAGTGACACAAATGTAGGTTTTTACTTTTGACACTAAGTACAGATTTGAAAACTCACACACAACTTGTTTAATATAATACAAGTCTTATTTATCCTGTCGTATGCTCACTACTTATCAATTACATGCAAAAGCTTACAATTAAAAACCTTGCGAAATGTTTTATTGAGCACTCATTCTGTGTGGTAAATTCTAGGGAAAAAATGGAAATTAGATTTGATAAATGCAAAATTTGAAATCCATATTTTTTAAACATAAATGCAGCACAATTATAATATATTTATTAATGTAAATTACTACAAATTAATAAGCGGAAGGACAAGTAGGTCTAGGTAAAAAAATACTTAAATAATAAATGCTTTCATCAGGCTACAAACTACTGTTAGACAATTTGCACTATCTATCTCTCTGGAAATACTTGCACCCATTGTGCCCAGGTGGTCCACCTGTCATGCAGCAGAAAACAAACAGTCTGAAGAATAGCCTCCATATCAGGTTCTGCGGATCATTTTCCGCCTCGCAATGTGCATGATATGAGGATGAATTGCTTCATGTATCGGGTGTCAGCGTGCTATTGCTCTTCCCCTCTTTAGATCCACAGTCAGTACAGGCAGACCGATGCCAGCTTCCAGAAGGCCCAAGCCGAGTTCGCCACCGGTGTCATGTCCAATCAGGCGGTACGCCAGGCCGCCACCACAGCTGCAACCAGCGCTGCCCAGGGGGCCTTCAACGCACCTCGATAGAGAGGCACGAGAGGGGCTGGGAGGGTGAGAAGGAGAGCCCTCTCAGCTCGATAGAGGATCTTTTTGGTATTTATTTCCCCACAGGTGATTAGAATTGGTCTGTATAATTACCCCTGAGCATCTGGACTTCAGGGCTCATGCATGAGACAGGTGGGGTTCTCTAAGTTCAAAGGGTGTACAGGACAAGTTAGCTACATTGCCAAACTAGGAGTCAACAAATCAGATTGTGTTGATTGTTGGAACGGAAAGATGTTACGAAATGTGAAAAAAAATAAAGGCTGAAGCTGTATGAAACGTAAATGCAGGGAACATGCTTTCTTATGGAAGGACCAGCTGTGTGCCATGTAGGACAGTGTAAGCCTGGATAGTTGCCATTTTAAATGACCTGGATGTACATTGTGTTTAGAAGGAGCCATGTTTGAGTTGGAGCTGAACACTGATATGATGCCATTCTAACAACTAATTTCTCTGTTGCTTAAGTGTAAATTAACATGTTTTGTTATTATTCCAAATAAGAATGCCTATTTACCTGTTTGCCAAATCCTGTCATACTGGAAAGATGATGAACTTGTGTTGTTTTGGTTTAAAAAATATCTGTTACTGTTCTGTTGGTGCTGCTTGTGGTTTAACGATTATTATTACATGTTACTGTCTTGGTTTTAATAAAAATATATTGTCATGCGTACTCATAACATACACTACCATAAGTTATTATTGCCTTGTCTAATTTACATTATAAATTATAAACAGGATTATATGCCAGTAGGCCGATTGGGGTCAGGCATAAGGGGAATAAACCAGAATAGCAAGACATTTTATTTATTTTGCATTTGGAGATCAAAGTTGTAGGCTAATGTTGAGAATAAAGTTAAGTAATGTGCGCACATCAACATTCCAAATGTTGATGTTTTTTTCTCGAAATATATAGCAACATATTTGTTGTATGCCTGGCAGCTGGCACAGAGTTCTACTTTTCAACAACATTTTCCCTTTATTCTCGACATGTTCACATTATTCTGAAATAACAAATTATGCTTTTCCTACTCTCATTCCCCCCCTTATGCTTGACCCTAATAAACTTCAAGGTTCAAGGCTTTTATTATTAGTAGTCATGTACATAGCTACAGTGTAGTTATGACGATGAAAATCTTTGGTCACAGGCTTTTTGATATTGTATTTATGTTTTCAATCGGTCAAACAGACCTTTTTAAGCAAGTTTAGCATATTAGCTCACACCTTAACTGACATGTGTCACTGAATTTGCTTTGCTAGGAGACTGCTTGTTAGTAGTAGCAGTAAAAGTCAGTTACATTTAAAAAAGTTTAACCCATGTGTTGCTTTTAAGAAGAGAACACATTCAACTACACCATTTGTTATTCTCTGGCGACACCCAACACACTTTAAGGAAACTGCACCCGTGATACAACAACGTGTTGCTCTTAAAGCTCTTGGCTTGTTTGGGCATCGTTGCAGAACAAAGGTAAGCCCGATTTACTAAGCCAGATGAATATTTTTATCTTTTGCAAATATTTCTTTGATAAACATGACAATGTGTGCTGGCTGCTCGGTAAAGATGTTAATGTGCCATCTGCAGCCGCGCTTCTGACAGGGACCCTCAGTGACCCGTCGGACAGCCGTGAGTGGGACTTGTATGGGCTTCCACACTGACGTCAGGCACCTCGCGTTACCGTGAAGATGGCGGAGGCTGCGGAGACACCACAACACCGTTTTTTCTGTCACTGCTGTAAAAGTGAAACAAAGCCCAAACTCCCGGTGAGTCACTTTGAAGAGTGTCTTTATTCCAAGGTTTCTGGTGGGGATCATTCACGCGGCCATCGAGGGACGGATTAACATTTTAAAAGCTCTTTCTCTTTTAGACTTGTTCAATTTACTGATATATTTGTTACCATCACAATTTGTATGATTGGAATAACAAAAGTACACACATGACAGCCTGTTGGTGGTTGTTTATGTGCGTAAAGCATGCGCCAGGATCTTACATTAGAGAGAGAGGGAGTGAAATCTGGTGATTCACGTTGCCATATTTAGCAGCACCACTGTTGGCAACTCTCTGTGTCCAGTTGTCTTCTGTCAACTGCGAGAGCGAGTAGGAGGGGCTGTCTGGGAGTTTCCACATGCACCAGGAGCGCTTCCCCCTCACTGTTACATGCCACAGAGCCGCAAATAGGTGGTGCCTTTAACCCCTGCACCCGATTTGTTTTGTCCCCTTTTGTCTCACTAAAACCCGTCTGAGAGACACAACTTTGCTTGGACTGATTTAGTTGGAGATTTATTTGATTTATTAAGTCGGAGGAAATCTCTATTGAGTGCATGTGTTGCACAGATGGCACAATTACGCACGTGTGTTTGTGTTTATATGCCTAAATGGCCAAACGTTTATGGTGACCCCTATGCACATGAATTTGTATGCTATAAATGAATGATTAATGACTTTTTGGCATAGAGATGATATGTGGCACGTCCCAAGCCAGGATCATGAATACAGAGACTTTGCAATAACAATGTGCCTTTTCGGGCTATGCCCGATACAACAAAGTATGGTCAATCATAATGACTTGGAATTATGTGATATGTTGACACATAAATATGAGTATCAACATTTACTTGTATACATATTTTCTCTTCGAGGATTTTGTCTGTCCCAGATGTGACTCTGACTTCATTGAGGAGGTGTCAGAAGACTCCAGGTACAGCTCGGTCTTGATATATACATTCACTGTTCTTAAAGTTTACTCTGCTTGATAAAAAGGTTTTGAATCATGTTACCAAGTATTAATTTAAAATGCATGATGGTCACTAGTTAGTGCCAGTGCCAGTCATTTTTGCATCACTGATTTTAAAATGTATTATTATTTTGCTGTTTAGTCTCCTGCAGAATAGTTCACCAGTGTCCAGTGAAGACTCAAACTCGTTGTTTTCAGAGGTATGTCCTCACATATTTCACTTAGTTAACATGGACACTCCTCTTTCTCTAAGGCTTTGTGTGACACATTTCTTGGCTCTGTTCCTCCAAGTTATGGCAGCTGCTGTTCATGGAGCGGTCTGCTCTGCTGTCCAATCCGCCCTCCTCAGAGTCGGACCCAGATGACAGCGAGCAGGCATCGTCAGGTCAGAGCTGTCCCTCCCCAGTGACGCCAATTGCTGCTGAGGCCGCAGAACCAGAGTCTCCCTTCCCGTCTGAAGAGGAGAGGTCGCCCAGGCCAGACCAAAGGCCAGCAGTGGAAGGGTGTGTGGACACGGTATACAGAAAAAACACCATGTGCTGAACTCTGACTTTTAAAAAATCTTCAAGTATGCTTTTACGTTTGACAGTTATTTCTCTCTTTTGATGTCTTGGTTACATACAAGATGAGATGTAGAATGTCACTGTGGTTTGGCACATCTATTCATTCATACCTTTTTTATTAAAAATCAAAGTCAACGTCAACTTTATTGTCAATCCTCTGTGTTAACAAATAAATCAGAGCACCTGAAGGTTTTATACAATTTCCAGACAGTTTTTCATTGTGTACAGATCCTCATATGGAATTGCTTCGCTTCAAAAAGTGATCAAACACTTTAGGCTCCAATACTTTATCTATTGTGTATAACATTTGACAGAGGAGAACAGCTGCATGCATCCTGGGCAAATCATAAAGGCGTGGCGTGAATTGAAGCTGAATAAAATATGTGTTGTGAAAGCAACCCAAAGCAAACATCTGCTTTCTGTTTGTGCCCTTTCAAGGATTGTGCAACAGTTCTTGACCGACCTTTTTTCCAGCAACGGAAACCCCGGTGCTGCACCAGCTGCCCTGTAACTGCTTTTTAAATGTTCGATTCACATAATTTACTTTGGATTTTCTCTAACATTGTGTGATAACCTCTCTCCCTCCCCCTTCTCTCTTGATCTCCTTATGCTTGTCTCTTTAGATCTAGCATGCTACAGTTGCACTCAAACCCTGGAGATTATGCGTGGGGTCAAGGAGGTCTTGACGCTGTCATAACAGAGGTCAGTCATAGTAGGGGAAGGGATTTCTAACCTTTTTGTTCAGTTCAAGCATGGTTCCCTTCTTGTTCTCCTTCCCTCTCCATTAACCTTTAACATAAAACACAAACCCCTCAAATTCTGTAACCATCAAGATACAAACTGTTCTTTTTTTATCCGATTCTTTTGTGTGGACTCTGTTTCCCCTCTCTGCCCCTCATGTCTCCTCGTATATATCCATTCTCTTTGTTTCTTCTCCCACTCACCTAGTTGTTGGGACAGTTGGAGAGCACAGGTCCGCCCCCTGCAGAAAAGGAGATGATCTCATCACTGCCGACAGTTTGCATCTCTCAAGAACAGACAGGTAGCAATCCTAGCACGCACACCTCTCTTTCATTCTCATATCTTTTTTCCCTCATTCCTCTCATCTCATTTTCTCCTCCTTTCTTCCCCTATCTCTTCCTGCCTTACCTTTGTTTCCTCATATAATTAATTTCCCTTGATATCTTTCCTTCACTTGTTTCACCTCTAATCTGTCCTCTCTTGTCCATCTTGTCAATTGCCTCTTTGCCCCCTCCTGTCTCTCATTTCCTTCACTTCTTTTCCCGACCCTTCTATTTGTCCTTCCCTCCTTCTATAGTTACCTCTACTTCTTTCCTCCCACCATTTATTTCCTCTTCCCAACTCTTCTTACTTCCTCTATCTTTTCATTTATTTCCTTTCCTTCCTCCTACTTTCCTTTTATTTGAGGCTTTCCTTGCATTCTTTCCTTCGATCCTCCTTCCATTTCCTTACCTCCTATCCTTTGTTTCCTTCATCTTTTTTCTTTACCTCTTCCTTCTCTTCCCATTCCTAGTTAATGTTAATAATGTTTTACTGTCCTGGATGCTCAATTAGACTAAATTATATTAATAATATAGCTTCACTTATTCAAATAATCAAGTTGGAAGTACATTTAAATGAACAAAGAAACAGAAATATAAAGAAAAGTAATATAAATATGGCAGGTAGAGCGTAATCAAGTTTTGTATAGTCCGGCTCTTTTTCATGTTGTGTTGTGCTAATTTGTGTGTTTTTGTAGAATTGTTTGAGCTTCTAAATATGTATTCAAACATCATCAAACTTTGTTACAGAGAAATTACAATTAAACATTATAGCAAATACAGGCCTGTCTTGCACATTTGAGTAGTTATGAATCATCCCAAAAACATTGACTGGGTTTTTTGTTTCTACTCTCTATGTGTTTCTGTTTTTCTCTCCCAGACTGCAGACTGGAGTGTCCAGTTTGTAGGGAGGAGTATACATCAGGGGAGTCTGTCAGGAAGCTTCCCTGCCTCCATTTCTTCCACAGTGAATGTATAGTGCCTTGGCTGGAGCTGGTAAGGGCGATGAGTGGATGTGGTCAGTGGGGGTTTGAAGCCTGGTTAGATTTGCCATGGAGGTTTTAAGAGTGTGTCACACATCCTGTCTTCAGTGCTGTGATGACAACACAGAAGCATTTTTGATACCAAAGGATTTCTCTGGTCTGACTTTTGCTTATATGTTCTTTCCTCTCCCTCACAGCATGATACCTGCCCAGTGTGCAGAAAAAGCCTTGACGGTGTCGACAACAGCCTCCCCCCCACATCAGAACCCCCAGAAGCACGCTCCATCAGGACGGAGCAACAAGAGAAGCAGGCCATCTGAGAAATGGGCCAAGCTAATATTGACTTC